GGGAAACACCTCAGACTTCTAAGGACTGCATGTACATGCTCACACACCACATAACACAGAACAAAGAAACAGGGGCCTTTGGGTGCAAAACAAACAACCAGAATAAGAGAATCAGATCCACACCAAAAAATTTTTTTTCAGGTGTTTTGAAAAATATAGAATATACATACATGATATTTAAAGAAATAGATGATTAACATATCAAAAAATAAGACCCTCTAAGATATGACTAAGCTGATATGATTTTAAAAATCCAAACAGTGGCTGGAGAGATGGCTTAGAGGTCGGTAGCAAGGACTGCACTTCTGGAGGATCTAAGTTCGGCTCCCAGTACCCACACTGGCCACTCACAAAATCCTGTAACTCCAGGTCCAGGGTGTTCAGGGTGTTGTGAAATAGAATATTTGTTTAACTATGTAAATATGTGTTGCATTTGTTTATGCTGCATATGTTTAACTATGTAAAGATGTGTTGGTGTTTCACCTTGCCTTAGATTGGTCTAAGAAAAAGCTGAATGGCCAATAGCTAGACAGTAGAGGGATAGGCAAGGTTGGCAGGCAGAGAGAGAAAGGGAGCCAGCCAGTCAGCCAGGAACCAGACAGACAGACAGACAAAGAAGAAGCAGGAAAGCAGGATGGACAGTTCATAGATGAGGTAAATGAGCTTTGGGGCAGCACACAGATTAATAGAAATGGGTTAAGTTTAAAAAAAAAAAAAAGAGCTAGCTAGAAACAAGTCTAAACTAAGGCACACACACACACACACACACACAGAGTAATAACAAAATATCCAGGAAGACTTTCTAGAAATGAAAAAGTTAGGCAAGGTGAAACGTGCGAAGTGTGATGCCTCACGCCTGTAAGCCAACTCTTGAGGGGCAGGAGCACTGCCCTGATTCTGTAAGGAGTCATTGTGAGGCCCGAGGAGGACATCTGGCATCCTGCTCATCTGGCATCATCACTCCCCACCTTATTTATTGGAGACAGGGTCTATCACACGCCTAGAACCAGGATGGCAACCGGCATGCCCAGCAATCCTCCTGATTCTTCCAGCTATCACAACACAGACAGACAGTTACAGACGGACGTGTGACCACAGCCAGCTTTTCCCACGGGCTCCTGGGACTGGAACTCAGGTCCTCATGCTTGCATAGCAAGAGCCCACACATACTGATCCACATCCCAGCCCACTTTTGGCGATCCTGATACCAACCTGGGCTATTAGTTCAGCCATAGCAAGACACTGCCTCAAAAAATAAAGGACAGAGTGATGAGGCAGGAAGAACAAACTTGGTGATCAGACCTAATTATCAATTAGATACACCTGAAAAGATGAATAGTAACCAAGGATCTGGGTCTACAAAATATCCGAAGAGCAGTACAGATGGCTTTGAAAACAGAAGTTACAGATTTTAAAAGCATAGGTTAAAGGAAACAGAGGAAGGCAAGCATGTGCCCACGCCTGTGACCCCAGCAGTTAGGGGCTGGAGGCCGGAAGATTAGAAGGTCAAGTTTCATCACTGGCTACATAGTGAGTTGGAGGCTTGCCTTGTTTCCATGACAGCTGGTGTAAGAGGTGGAGAGAGGGAGAGTTGGGGGTAAGAAGATAATATTGTTATACATTTCTTACAAATCTAAAGCACTGACATACAGAAAGTTATCCATCAAAATGTCACAGAAAGCAAGCGAAGGGGCTAGAGAGACAGATGGCTCAGTAGTAAAGAGTGGGTACAGCTCTCTTGCAGAGGACCTGAGTTTGGGTCTCAGCACCCAAGTTCACAACTGCCTGTAATTCCAGCTCTGAGGGATCTGGCACTCTCTTCTGACGTGTGTGTGTGTGTGTGTGTGTGTGTGTGTGTGTGTGTGTGTGTGTGTACATGAGTGAAGTGCCCACAGAGGCCCAGAGGCATTGGATCCCATTGTAGCTGGAGTCACGGGTGATTATGAACTGCCTAATGTGGGCTGGGAACTGAACCTCGACCCCTTGCAAGAGCAGTGGGCAATGCTAGCCACTGCACTATCGATTGTCTCTCCAGTCCCAAGTCTGTCATTAAAAAATTTCTTTTATATGTACAAATGTTTTACCTGCATGTGTTTTGTGCACCACATTCATGTCCCTGGAGGCCAGCAGAGGACACTGGATCCCCTGGAGTTACAGAGGTCTGCAAGCCACTGTGTGGGTGCTGGGAACGAAACCTGGTCCTCTGCGAGAGCAGCCAGTGCTAACTACTACACCATCTCTCCAGCTCCTCAAGTTTGCCATTTTAAGTACAGTTCCGTTCCTGGATTAGTCCTGTCTTTATACTGTTTTAAACAAATGTGATCACGTTAGATAGTTTGGGATTTTTAAATATTGTATTTCTCACTTAATTTCCATGTCATTACAATTCTTTTAAGCTCTCTACTGATGATTTAACAGTCCACCAGACTGAGGTGTACAGCTCTGGCCTGCATCCTCAGAGTTGAACATTATTAGCTTGTCTTCAGTTGCTGAGACTGTAACAGCCCTGTCTTTGATGGACTCAGTGGTATTTACAAGCACCTTTCATCCCAGGATCTCAGAGTGATTAAGAACGATCTCATTTGCTCTCTAGTCAGTGAGATGAGTCAATAACATTGTAATTACCTTTTGCCAGGAATATTGATGTCCTGGGGACATCAACAACTATCCTCTGCTGCACTGTCCTCCCTGCCCTGTCCTCCCTGCCCTGTGCTCCCCGCCCTGTCCTCCCTGCCCTGTCCTCCCTGCCCTGTCCTCCCTGCCCTGTCCTCCCTGTCCTGTCCTCCCTGTCCTCCCTGCCCTGTCCTCCCTGCCCTGTCCTCCCTGCCCTGTCCTCCCTGCCCTGTCCTCCCTGCCCTGTCCTCCCTGCCCTGTCCTCC